TTTCAATCTGAATAACAATATATATTATTATTGATTGACCACATAATGAATGACCACTGAAGTCATAAAATCCAATATAAGATAAATTTATCTGCACTAGATATATAAAAAATACTATACTCATCCCCAAAGAAATTAGAAACTGCACACAAAGAGAGAGATTTGCTGTCTTCCCTATGAAAAGATGTCACAAGCAGGGGTCCTGTAAAGACAGCTGGAAAGTTGCTTCTGCTTGTTATGCTGGTAAGCTTTATTGGTGACTGGCTTTTGATTATGCATTTATATGGTGTATGTTCCCGGTTACTGATTTTTAATTAAAGGCAACATCTTTAATTTTAGATACTTAAGACTAAAGTATACACATGATCTATTTTTAAATTTTGACTAGCTCAAGAAATTGCTAGTCCTTCTGGAAAATCTCAGGCATGAAACATTAGCATGTCTTAAGAATATTATATATGTATATGTATAACATATATATATATATATATGTATAACAAATATATATATTTGTTTTCTTATGTTTTCACGGGTATTTATATGTATGGTATTTAGGTTTCTTCGGGTATTTTCCACGTCTTAATATTTGTGCTTTTATTATAGCGACGTTTCGGCAGAATCTCATCTGCCATCCTCAGGCTTGTGTATTGGGTTCTTTTTAATCTTGTGTGTCAGGCTTAGCAGCCGTTTTTTGTTTAAATTTGGTGCTGGCTTTCCGCTTTATTTGAATGGTTTTTTCCTCATCTTGATTGGCTGGGAGTCTAGGTCTGTTTTTATTGGTCTTCGAGCTGCTGTGTTCTTTTTTTTTTTCCAACAAATTTTATTAGTTTTACAAAAACAATACACAAACAATCAAGGCATAATAACATAAAAAATCCTTTCTAAGAAAACCAATAGAACGTACAAAATAGTTCCAAATTGTAGTATAGATATTTACGTTATCTATTCAACTTCGTATCTTATCCCAACTTCTCCTTTTCATTCTATTATCCAAATTATATTTCTTGCTAATTAAAGTTTTATTGCCTTTCATAAACAATACACAAACATACAAAACATAAAACATAAGAAAACCACATAAAACATCTTTTCTGAAGGCTGTTTGATCCCGGGCTAAAAACTTTTCGCCCAAACACAAGTTCAAAAATCATATTCACTTTATATATCATTCCATATCTTATTACCATTTTCAATTTTCTATATAGCTTCTTCCCTCTTTTATCTTTCTTAATTTTGTTTTATTTATCTTATCTCAATTCAGTTCATAATACTTATCATTCTTTGTCTGTTCTATTTCCATCTATCCATTCATCTTTTCTCTTTTAATATACTTCTCCTGTACACTGATTGGAGTGATGCCTTTGACTCATTCCCCTAGCTTAAAATTACTTAATATGACACTTAATTTATATTGGGATTCTGTTTAGTACATTCTAAAGTTACACAATAAATTTTATGAAAAGGGTAAAAACATAACAATAACTAAATAAAATCATATATAACCACTATCCACATCATTAAAAAGCTAATCATATATATTGATACTCATTTATATCTTAAGCATTTTACTCTAAATACACATATAAAAACACAATCTTATGTACCTTCCAGAATCCCTTTTTTCAATTAGATTTACCCATTGTCTCTAAATAAGCTTTGTTTCTTTAAGTCTTGCTTCCCACCATTAAGGCTTCTCATCCCCTCCTTTCTCTCTTACTTATTCTTCTCCTTGCCCTTTTTACCCCTTTGTCTCTCCTCCTCCCTTTTCTTACTCCCTTTCTGTTGTTTTCTAACCTTGTATCCACCTTTCATCTCATTTTTCTCTTTTTTGGTTGTTTTTTCAAACCTTAAAATCCCCTTTTTCTTTTCCTCTTTCTCCTCCTCCCCAAAAAGAACCCACTGTTCATCAAAGATGGCTTCTTCTTCTTCTTTGTCCCAGTCGTCCTGCTGCGTAGTCAACTTTTCATAAGTGCATACCGCCATTTCTGGAAATTGAAATAGAGTGCCCAAAGTATCTTTTCCATCTTGTTTTTCTTTTTTATATTTTTTATATTCAATTTTTAGTTCATCCACAAGCGATGCCATCGTGAAGAGAAAAACTTTTTCCAAAACAACCACCCAAGTATTTTTAATCAAAAATAATTGCAAAAAATTCCAAAGTTACCAAAGTTCTTTCTTCTATTTCTCTTTCTGGGGTTACTGTTTAATCAAAGAGATCCAATTACAATATATCTTTCTTTAAAGTTCTAGGCAATCTCCTCCTTTTTCAACTTCTGCTCCAATTTTTTTTCCTCTCCCTTCCCACTTACAACAACAATTTTCTTTTAAGTGTTCAGAAATCCATACCTCCAATAAGGGTTTTCCGATTTCTTAAGTTGTTAAATCCAATGTCCAGGAATCCTTTGTCCCTTGGCTTTAACTTTCAAAATAATTTACCTTCAGTGCCCAAATACATTTTCCAAATCTTCGTCTGCTGTTTCTATGGGGTGGGAGAGTGAAGAAAAAAAAAGTTTTTTTTCCCCTTGACAGCTTTCTCCGCCGCTTTCCGATCTTCTTAGGGATACAATGTATCTTCCAGCAATTCAAACGATTCAGTTTCCAGGGTGTTTAAAAGTTGTTGATTGACCCGGCTCAGCCAGCACTTTCACTTTCCCTGCTACCTCCAGCACAATCTTACCCGGCTGCAGGCTTCTTCGTGGCGGCCATTACTGACCGCCGCTCCACCACCTCGGGAAAAAGGGGTTTTTCTGGACGAGGAGGGGGTCTGCGACACCCCCAACCCCCTGTCCGGCTCCCCTCTCTCTTCGGCTGCCTCTACAGGGCAGCCATATCCCCCTGACCCATTTGGATCGGGGGCACCTTGGCGGCAAGCGCAGCAGGAATCGCGGACAGTCGCGAATTCCTGCTGCCACCGAAGCCACGCGAAACCGGAAACCCGAGCTGCTGTGTTCTTGATTGGTTGGCAACATTGTGTTTTGTGCATTGGGGTTTCTTAGTGCAGCTTGGTTTCTTGTGAATGGCCAATAATTATTTATTAGGAAGCTAGATTTTATTTGAGTAGCTGGGGCGTGTTTGGGCTGGAGGTATGGGGGGGAGTTGTTTGTGTCCAGGTGCTTGCCTGGATTGTGGTATAGAGATTTGTTTGTTTGTGAGTGCAGGCTTCCAGATGATTGATAGTCTGGTGGAGTCATCTCTTCTATTCATACTATTAGGTCTTTTATCAATTTCTATGGCTTCTCTGATGATTCTGTAGCCGGGGTTTTCTGTAGTAGCTAGGGTTTTGGTGCCACTGAAGTCAATACTATGACCTGTGGCTTTCGTGTGTTGGACTAGTGAGGAAGTGTGTTCCAGCTTTTTTATTGCATTCTTGTGTTCTTCAAGGCAGGTACTTATCCTTCTGTTGGTTTGTCCTATGTATGTGGCAGGGCATGATGCTCAGGGTACTTCATATATGCCTTGGTTTTCTAGGTCAATTTTATCTTTGGGGTTTCTTAGGATGGCTGTTATTTTTTTGTTCGTTTTGAAGGCAGTCTTGATGTGATGCCTGCGTAGTATCTTGCTGATTTTGTCTGTTGTTCTTCTTATGTAGGGCAGGACAGCTGTTCCATAGGTTTGTTCATCTTCTGGGTCTCTATTGTGTTTCAGTGTGTTTTTGTGGATCGGGTTCGTGATTTTGTTTTTGTGGAAGCCGTTAGCTCTTAGTATTTTGGTCAGGGTGCATAGTTCAGTCTTTATGTGTGCCTTGTCTGCCAGGCATGTGGTTCTGGTAATTAGTGTTTTGGCTACGGAGTTTATTTGTGCTGGGTGGTGGTGGGATTGAGCGTTTAGGTAGCGGTTGGTGTGTGTTTTCTTCTGGTATATGATGTGTCCTAGTATTCCATCTGTTTTTTTGTAGATTAGTACATCTAGGAATAGTAGTTCTTTGTTTGTTTCCGTTTCCATGGTGAACTTGATTTTGGGGTGTGTATTGTTTAGTTGTGTTAGGAAATTGTTTAGGTTTTCTTTTCCATCGGGCCAAATAACAAATGTGTCATTGATGTATCTTAGCCATAGTTTGGGTTTGTGGGTGGCATTTGCCAGGGCTCTGGATTCAAATTCTTCTATGAACAGATTTGCAATAACGGGTGACAGTGGTGATCCCATGGGGGCTCCTTCGAACTGCTTGTATCTTTTTCCTTTGTATATGAAATATGTGTTGGTTAAGCAGTGTTCTGTTAGTTCCATGAGGTGCTTGGGTGGTTTGTATTTGTTTTTGATGATTTGTACGGTTTCTTTCACTGGGACTTGGGTGAATAGTGAAACCACATCGAAACTTACTAGCAGGTCTCTTTGTTCCACATGTAGATTTTTGATCATTTCTAAGAAGCGGTATGAGTTTTGTACATGTGAAGCTGCTTGCTTCAGCATGGGGCTGTAGCTGTTTTGCTAGGTATTTGGCTAAGCCTGACACACAAGATTAAAAAGAACCCAATACACAAGCCTGAGGATGGCAGATGAGATTCTGCCGAAACGTCGCTATAATAAAAGCACAAATATTAAGACGTGGAAAATACCCAAAGAAACCTAAATACCATACACACACACACACACACATTCTTATTTTAAATAAAGTAACATTTATAATTCTTTTCCTGTCATAATATCTCAAATGTATGTGCATGTCTATATTCATATTAAGGCAGAGTACGTGTGCATGTATATATCTACTATAACGCTTTTCCTCATTATTACATAATTTTACTTTATAACTGATGAAGACCCACTACATTTAATTTGAAAACCAGTGTTTTTAATACTATAATTTGCTTAGTACTGAAAATATTACATTTATATGAAAAAAGTCTAAATGTTAATGACTGCAACAATTAGAATTCTGTTGCTTTGGAAATATACCGTAGCAACTATAGTATGCTTTGCTTTCTGTATATTATGTATTAAAAACAAAGTTGAATAGTTAAGGCTCGGTAACAGAATATATTTCCTTAACCCATTTCCAACAGTTATGAGGAAAGAGCAATATATCTTGATGAAATAATCCGGAATCATAAAGAACTATTGTCATTTGAAGATTTTGCTGCTCAGGTTTTCTCTCCCTCTCCCAGTTACTCCCGTAATGGATGTGGTAAGTCTCTGTATTGTATTTATTAGTACTGCAGTTACTACTATTACTATTATTATCATCATCACTAAGAATGATTTGAACAGCAGGTGTACACCTGTTTTTCACTTATAAATAGCTGCAAATTAAAAAAAACACTTTCTCTGTGAATTAGCTAATGAATATCAAAAGGAATGATGGCATTCATTTTAATTTGTTTTGTAACAGACCTTTTCACTCAATTCCTTTTTCACTATCCTGTTAACCCTCCGAATCTAGCAAGGTTAATGAACTTTCTCTCACTAATGTGTTCTGATTCATTCAAGAGTGTAGACTTCTTGCTGAGCTGAGAATATGTTGTGCAAAAGCTATTTGTGAACCAGTGCACTCTTATAAAAAAATAGACCCTCACAGTAGGAGCCATTGCTAGTAATGTTAAATGAAGATTATGCTAGGAAAATGGAAGATAAATACAATGTTTTGTCAGGCAATATCTGTGCTTAGATATTCAATTTATTGCAACCCTGTTTTTATGAGAAATTTATTTAATTATTTTGTAATTTTAAAACATAATTGTTTTATTTTGATGGTCCATTTTATGATTTACTGCTGTCTTGCAAAAGAATAGCAAACAAACCAGGTGCCTTTCTAGAAGAACATTCCTTTATTCGGTATAGTCAATGTCCATCTTCTGACACTGACATTTCCTAATTATATTGCAATGCTGTGTTGCATTGTTAAGTCAATGGATTATCCCTCACACCAGTGAATGTCTGGATGCATCTGTTTTCTTTTTTTTTTTTATAACTGATCAGCTATTTTTTTATATATGAACTAAATACAACAGAGATTAAAGGTACTGAAATGAATCACTTTACAAATAAAACTAGACATGCATCACGGTTTAACATGACTGGCTGTACTTCTTGAGCTTTGTTAAGAGATATGGGATAGATGCACATACTGTATTGGTCGCCAATGGCAGCAGGCAGAAGGCTTTGGAGATAAGCAAGCTGGCAGAAGTATAGAGGAACTAGTGCTATTTACATAATCGCACCTCTGCTTCCTGGAGAGGCGTCAAGAGACGGGAATGGCCTCTATTGATCTTTGTTGAACTGGAATACTAAACAACACTAGGCAAGCTTATAAATAAAGCTTTGATTAATCTTTTCTCTATTAAAATGTGCAGCTGCGAATTGATTTGTATATATTATTTATATATTCTATCAAACACAGGTTATTTGCCATTGCCTTATGAAAGAGTTTCATAATTTTATAGAACAATTTATGATTTGAGCATTGTGAACAACTGAACTATTTACGTAACAATAGTAGCAGAATGATTAAAAAGAATACATTATAAAAATCCATTCATGAAAGTTAAATTTTATGAAAAAAATTTGATTATGGAGAACTGAGATTCAGCCTGCATCTAGCTGAAATACAAATCACATACATATGACTTATATATAATTCTATTTGGCCATTCTGGAATTCATGTAATGAAAGGGGAGAAAACATTTCCAGAAATTTAGATATGAAAGTTAATTAGCCAGTTTAAATACAGGGCGGCATATCTCATAAAATTCAAATTAATGAGCCAATCAAATCTCTCTCCCTTTCAGCCAGCATTGTTCAATACAGTGAGAGAATATTCAACATGCTTAATGGTAAGATTGCAGGTACAGGTGGTGTATTTGGGAAAAAGTTAAACTATGGATGTTATTTATTTATGGCATGTCATTGGTCCTCAGCCTTTTGGCTAAGATCAAGTGTACTTATGGCGTGTCCATGCCCTTGTACTAGATCAGAGGTGTCAAACTCAATTTCATTGAGGGCCGCATCAGGGTTGTGTTTGCCCTTGGGGGGCCAGGGTGGACATGGGCAACTCGACATCGCTCGTGTTGGGGATGTCTGTGGTGGCCCAAGTGCTCTGTCAGCGAAAATGGACTCACAATCTCTGTTTTTGGCTGTGACAGCCTCGCACCCCAGTGCCAGAAAAAGCAGAACTTGGGAGGGCTGCCCACGGCCCTCCCAAGCTCTCTTTTTGCTGGTGGAGGCACCGCAGGCCAGTCCTTCACTGTTTCCAGAGCAGCCCCAAGGGCTGGATGTAAGCACCCCGCGGGTCAGATCTGTCCCCCGGGCCTTGAGTTTGACACCCCTGTACTAGACAAAATGCAGAGAAACCTATTAAGTGTAGCTGGGAAGGTGTGCGATAGAATTTTGATTGAAAGAGTACAAGCACTAGAATGGACAAAATTTGGGAAGCTCAGTGCAGTTTTATGCTGGGCAGAAAATGTCAGACTAGGTTTTTGCTTTTTAACAGGTTATTGAAATTGTATGAATGTGCTGTCCAGACAGTATATAATTAATTGGGAATTGGGAAAGTTAGTTAGGAATTGGAAGCTGTCCCCTTAAGGGAATGCCTCATGGTAAACGTAGTTAATGCATCATGGGAAATGTAGTTCATGTCATGTGGTCATATCTGTAATCCTGATTGGTCACTGAATTGACCCTTGGTTGGGTTGGGGAGTTTCCTTTACTCTTGCTTGGACCCCAGCTCCGTGCTGGTGTTTCACCCTTTGCTCCTTCGTTTTGGGATGAAGATCACTATAATTTCACACTATGAAGTCAACTGTGCAAAGAATTGGACATTAGATGAATCTCAACATAACCGTGAGTTGCTTGTGACCCAATAAAGAAACTTTGTATGGAAGCCTTTGTAGGGTTTGCCTGTCTGTCTTTATGTTCAGCCAGTAATTTTAAAAGACAGAACAATGAATGTGAGAGGGAAAGGTTATTTTACAATTGTTGAGTCAAAAAAAGATATAATAAAGTTGGATTGGATTGAATAATGAAATGCCTTGGTTAATATGGAGTTGAAGATTGGTTTTATATTAATCTACATCAGGCATGTCAAACTCAAGGCCCGTAGGGTGCATCCAGCTGCCGGGTGCTTAGATCTGGCCCGCGGGGCCGCCCTGGAAATAGCAAGGGACTGGACTGTGGTGCCTCTGCCAGCAACCACCCTGATGCGGCCCCCAATGAAATCAAGTTTGACACCCCTGATCTACATTGTGTTATTACTGGGGGGAGGAGGTATGTGTATGAATGAATATGTGTTTTATACGTGTTGATAAGGGAAGAAAAAGGGACTAAAACAAAACAAGTTGAAATACTAAAAAGTACACTTTAAAAATGCAAAAGAGAGAATTAAAAAAAATAGAGAAAAGTGGGAGGAGGAGTAAGTTGCAAATTTAGAGTAGCCCCAAACGATAAACCTGTACTTATAGGAAGAATGCAACCTCATCAAATCAGGGGTTATCTCAGTCTCTGAATCCAGTCTCCTTACCAACAGCATCTTTATCTATATAAAGAAGGTTTTATACTAAAACCTTCATGCCTGTAATCTTTAATAGGGCGAAATGGAGCACTTTAATGTAAAACCTTTTTAATCAAGATACCTCAAATAGGCTAATTTGCAGTATGCAACCAAAATCTGGGATCCATGATTCCCATGGAATTGAAATTTGACAAATGTTATAAATGCTATGACATAAAACGTCATAACATTTTCCTAGGGGAAAATCCTGATCTTTCAGTGGACTATTCAGTTCAATGTAGGCTACTTTCAAGAGGTCTATGACAACTTGCCCCTGCCAGGACACTTCACCCCGGCCAACTTGCTACCAGGAGAACTTGCTGTAAGCCTGAGCTTTCTGCTTGGTTTCCAAAGCTGGCCCAGCTTAAGGGAGGCAAAAGGCGCCGTCAGGGTGCAGCTCAGATGCAGATAAAAGACCCCAAGGTCCGCTCAGAATGGTGTGTGTGTGCGCGCACACACACGCACACAGGTGTGCATGTGCACAGAACAATAACTCCCACTTAGCCTGCAATTTGTTGGTGGGTGCTGGAAAGTGAGCCTTTAGAGGAGTGGGGTCTGGCCGGAACTTTTGCCTCCCTTAAACTGGAAACCAGAGTGGAAGGTCCAGGATCACAGCAAGTTGTCCCCACGTGAGCTGGGCGGGCTGAGATGTCCCATGGCAAGGTGGCCATGGCTAGGTGATGGTGGTGAGGTGGTGATGAGGTGGCAGTGGCAAGGTGACATCAGCAAGTTGTCCCATTCCGAATTTCAAGACAGATACATCTCTGAATATGTCCTTGAATTTTTAAGGGCTGTTTTTTTTTAAGTGCATTAGAAGTAATGCTATTATTGAAGGCATTGAGGAATCAGGAAAGGAAATATCTCTGAAATGATGACCGAACAGGTCATGAGTTGTCTAATCTTACTTGAATTTATTTTCAGCTTGTTCTCCCTTACCCAGACCATTATTAAATCTAAGCAACATTCAAGGATACTGATCGTTTTCTCAGAATTAGATTTAAGAAACAATAGAGCTGCATCAGTATATTGATGGCATTCTGTATCAAAGCCCTAAATGACCTGCCTTGTTGGTTTCCTGTAGATATTAAAAAGCAAAGAAGACAAGACAGAACCCTGAGATGCCCAGGTCTCAGAGAGAGATCCTCCTCCGCCATCTTCTGAAAAGATGCCCTCCCTCAAATCCCTGTGGAGGCCAGATTGCTGTGGTTGATGGTGTTGAAAGCTAACAAGAGATTCATGAGATATAGCAAAATATCTCCCATCTAATTTTCAATATACATCACCCACAAAGTGATTAGAACAGCCTTGGTATCATATTTAGACAAAATCCACCTCCACCCTGATCCTGCCGCCACTAGTCCCTATTAACATTTGTTACAATATTTTTCCACGCCATATCAGGGCAAAAAGGGTAATAATACCAACTTTATTGTGTTGCCTCCTAACATTTTATTCAGTCCTACATCTGGAGCATACTGTTTTCTGTGATATTTCCCAGTCTGTATACTAAATGTAATTTCTGCGTTGCAAGCCACTCTGATAGAGATGTTGTTGGATCCTGTATCATACATAGCTAGATTTAAAAAAAACCTCTTTTTTATGCTTTTACTAAGAATCAGTCCGATCTAAGATGATAGGTCAAGATTGCAATTTAATCTGGATACCTGAAAAAGGTGTTCTTCAACAGGAAGAAATGCAATATATTTAAGGAGGAGATATATATGTGTGTGTGTGTGTGTGTATGTGTATATGTGTATATGTATATGTATATACTGTATATATCACATATATCACATGTAATGTGTGGGATTCATGGCTTGGAAGCAACACATCAAATATATTTACTTGCACATTGTAGAGGGTTGAAATTTTTATGAACCCCTGAAATCACAATCACAATTCTATGATTCTGTCTATTCTTTTACTGTTTTTTGAGAATATTTCTGAATTATACAATGGCTAAAGGTTGCAGGAGAAGAGCAGGCAGAGGGGGGGGCAGTTAAACATGTCATTAGCTTAGCCTTTCTGTTGCCACAAACAATCCAAATTCAGCAACCATTGAATTCCATTGACTTTTATCTAGTGCCAATTTAGTCCTCACCATTAGTTGATTAGATTCTTGCATATAGATTTGAATAAATCTGTGTGCAACTTAACGTAATAATGTATCCTTTGCACCTGACAAGGTTGGATAACTGTGTGACTGATTAATTTTACATATACAGGTAGTCCATCCAGCAACTGTTATGATGGCACTGAATGAAGGTGAAACAAAAACAGAATAGCAGAGTTGGAAGGGGCCTTGGAAGTCTTCTAATTCAGCCTCCTACCCAAACAGGAGACTCTATATCATTTCAGTCCCCTAATTAGGCTTAATCATAATCACCATCTAGTTTCTAGATCAGGATTGTCAAACTTGCACCATCACATCAGTCAGGTGATGTATCGCAACTTTTTTCCCCTTGTTAAACTGGAGGCGGGCGAGGCCAATGCATGACACATCTGGCACATGGGCTGCAAGTTTGACGCCCCTGTTCTAGATATTCACAGATCTGTTTTTTATTACCATTTCCAGGATCTTCCCAGGTTTTGATTTTAGGCTTATTAGTCTGTAGTTTCCTGGGACTGATTTTTATTTTTTTGTTTATTCCCTTTTTAAAGATGGGAACCACATCAACTCTTGTCCAATCCTGTTAGTTCCCAGGATTTTTGAAAGATATGTTACAATGGTTCTGAATTAATATCTGACAGCTCCTTCAGAACTCTGGGGTATAATCCATCAGGTCCTGGTGATTTATATATATCAAGATCAGACAGGTGTTTTCTTTCCTTTTTCTTGCTTATTTTAATTTATATTTCGAGTCTGTCTTTTACAATTATGATAGGTTGGGCTATAGTTTCATTTTGTGTAAAGACTAATGCAAAGAATGAGTTAAGCAGCTCTTAAGGAACTTACAATCTGTGCCCAAAGTTATGACTGTTACAGCACCCCCCCATATCATATGATCAAAATTCAGATACTGGGCAGCCCACACACATTTACAACCACAAAGGCACCTCAACTCCCCCCAGTTGGCTAGCTTCTTCCCCATCTATGCCCTTTTGACCCCCTGTTGCCCTGTGCTTCACCAGAATCTGACCTTTGGTGTCTTGATTATCCAATTGCTGACAAGGCATCCCCGGATTGGCTGCAGGGCCTGGGACTGAGACTGGGCTTCATGTCCCCCCCACCCCCACCCAAAAAAAACCCCCAAAGCAGCAAAGGCAAAGGGCCTGCTTGTAGCTCAGGGGCTGCTTCTGGCTCTCTTTTTTCCCCCCACAGCCGAAGCCAAGCCCGGCCCAGCAGCCAGACAAGAGACATGTCTTGTCAGCAACAAGAGCAAGAAGTGTTCATTTCATAAACATGCTAATGATTTGGAAGATAGGAAAGACTATTTTTCAAAGGTTAATACTATATTGTCATATGCAAAAGAGGCACAAATAATAAAATCTATTATAATCAACCAGATGTTCACAATAGAGTCTCACCAAATAGGCTGCTTGGTAGTACTGATGAACATAACTTTTGTAAAGGAATTATATGCAACTTATAGAATATCTGTGCAGAACACATTAGCGGAGGACCAGGCCTGTTAGTTACAACTGATCAGTGTTCAGGTTTACAGCATACAGTACATATACTACGTGTACACATATTGTGTGCTCACACACAAACACACACACACACCCTTGAAAAATCTTAAATGTAAATTTTGAATCAGTTTTCAGTTCCACAGTTCTTTGAAGGAATAATCTTCTGAAGAAGAGAGATCATGGATCAGAAGCTTCTGGTATTAATTTAAGCTGTTGTATGAAGATACGTATATGCAACAATAGTAATGGGCAGCTGCCTAGCCTAGTTCCTTTCTTAAAGCTTGTATTCTACATCCATTGTTACCCAATTTTTATTAACGATTTGGTACAGAGATTCATGATAAAGCAATTTCATCTGCAAAACCAAATAAATAAATCTTTTGTTGTGCTATTGCTGAAATGCAGTTTGTAATATTGGATTAAGAAGAACTTTGGGAGCCATTAATTCCTACTGTGTAAATGAGAACCTGGTTATTAACTATCCTTCACCAGCAGAGGGTTTGCAAAGAGACCAGGTGGACAAACTGGCAAAAGGGGGGAAATTTTAGATCTTCATTTATTTTGGAGTTATTTTTCATGTCTCAGGCTCTTGGAGTCCTCAAAAATACTTAGTACAGGCTATAATTATAAAATGGTCCAAAAATGTTTATATTATGATTTGACCTGTTGCAGCCTTGCATCTTCTGTACTGTTGTTGATGGGATTTGATAGCACCAGTTGGTTCTTCAGTCAATATACTAGGGTTATTGAATTACAAAAGGATATAAACCAGTTCCCCTCATACTTCATTTTTTTGAGAGTTAAGGATGTCTTACTCCTGCCTTGATATCTTTATAACATCATGTCCATGAGCAAAGGAGTAATCATTTTGACACACTATAATGTTTTGCCATCTGTGCTCTGAAGGGTAAATTTGCTAATAACCCAAAAGATTGAAAATGATGAGACAGAGAAATAGAAAGTATGAGGAATGTGATTGTGTGCTATAGTACGTATTTAATTAGTCTTCTAGACTCTATATATAACTTCCCATATCATAAGATTATCACAGAGGGCCAAGCTATGTCCCTTGAATTATTTGCTGGTTCATCGAGTTATTGTATGTCATGGGGTGCATGTTCAAAAATCAAGTGATAAATACTTCATTCTGAATTATATTTTTTAGTATAAAACCTAGTTTATACAGGTAATCCCCCGGTTACAAGCATTCCCTTAGTGAACGTTTGAAGTTATGTGATAAGCGCCTCCTAGTGTTTATGAACAAGTCCCGAAATTACGAATGTTGCAGCACCACACGAGTGGTTCACTCTTACAAACTGCAGAGGCTCTGCAACATTCGCCCTGCATATTCACTCCCTCCCCTGCCGGGTCTTCATAGGCACTCCTTCCAGGCCTCCTTTTTCATCACCGAAGCTATCCTCAAGCAGTTCAGCAGTGAGAAAGGAGGTCCAGAAGGCCACGTGCGCCCTTCTGGGCCCCCTTTCTTGCTGCCAAACTGCTTGAGGAAAGTTTCAGTGACGAAAAAGGAGGGAGCAGGCAAAGAAATGGGCTGTAGAGGAGATAGATCATCATCAGGTAAGTGACTGGGTGCAGAGAGATGGGGCGGAGCAATTGTGGGGACCCCAAGGGAGGGAGAATGAGGTATCTGTGGGTCAGGGAGTCCTTGGGTGGTCTGAAGCAGGTGGCCTGTTCTATCACTAGGCCTTCCATGGCCTACCCCAAGATACCTCATGTGCACTTCGATTAGCGAATCCGTGGGCGAAAGGGAGTGATCCTGTTCAAGGTACGAGATTCATTCCCACGAATCCTCAGGTTACGAATGGAATGAGCTGGCTCCATTTCATTCATAACTCGAAGGTTACCTCTAAAGCCTTTAAAAATTGAGGGAGAGGGTCAAGTGCAACAATATTCCATAACGTTAGCCAAAAATGCAAAATTCCACCATGCTGTAAAAACAAAACAGTAAGGAGGGATTTGTTTAATTTGGTGATATCCATTTACTCTGAATGTTTATTTACAAATTCACAACTGTATAAAGGGAAACATTACTCTGAGTTGTGGGGGAAGATTGTAATAAAGTTGAATATATGCCAACATTCTACTCTATCTGCATGATTACTCCAGGTACAATTTTCAAGCTTTTAATAAACTACGTTAGACAATGTATTCAAATAAGCAAAAACAGCATTGTGGAATTATTACTATCTACAACTTATTTCATAATATTGCTGATGCTCATTAGGTTTATTTCCAATTTGTGTCCTCCTCTCGTCTAATAACTCTGTAATTGTATATAAGACTGTCATCAGAGCAGCAGGTGCACTATTCCCATATTTACATACATTTGTGTTCTTTCCCTTTAGATTAAAATATGTAATGATCTCGTTACGGTAATTGAGAAAGGTAAGAGTTTGCTCACATGGCGTCATTCTCAATTTACTAACTAGATTCCATCTATTGCTTGCATGAAGCTGAAAGAATGTCATTTAATTTGGATTGGTCTCTTGCTTTTCCACTGAGTTTGCTCTGAAAACAAATGGTCCTTGTTTATGTCTGGTTCTCTAAGGAGCACTGGAAAGAATATTATTGGTAACTCTCTGGCCCTGAATGTCTAAGCTTTGCGAGAAAACCCTCTCCCTTCCTTCCTTCCTTTCTCTCTCCCTCTCTCTCTCTTTCTTTTTTTTTCTTTCTTTCTTCTTTCTTTTTCTTGTGCCTGTTTGCTTCAGGCAGAATTTGACACCAACACCTGCCATGGTGGAAAATGTCTTTGTTGCTTTGCACTTTTGTTTGAATTTGCTGCAGGGGAGTCAATGGGAGTTAAAACCATTACTTTTTTTTTGTTGCCTAAGCACCATGGAATAGGATCTTGAGATGGTGCCGATAAGGAGTGGCACGTGCTGTGCTGGCCCTTTGAGTTAGCTCAGCTTAATAAGGGGCTCTTTTTCTGGGAAGGGCAGATTGCTGAGCTTGGGCCTATGAATGGGAACAGCTGGGGGAAGAAAAGGGAAACAAAAGAGGGAATACATAGGCTGCCCTGAACCTGGCAATTGGGGGTGCAGTTTTGGAGCCAGGGAGCAAGCTGGCCACATGCCAGGTGTGACCTTTGCAGTCTGCTTGGTTCTGCTTGTTTGGGCAATTTCCAGTGCAATCCTGAAAAGGAAGCAGGAAGCTGATGGGCAGCAAAAGCATTGCTGGATAGACGCACTCGCTGGGTTGCTGGGACACTGGTTTAACTCTTGCAAAACCAACCTGTGGATAAAGAGAACTGAGGAGGTTTCAGAGAACAGCTTGCCTAAGTAGCCAGTTCTTCAGGTTGGTCAACGAGTCCGCATTATACCCTTGCAGCAAATGAAAACAAGCCTTCTGTATCAGCATTACATAAATCATTTAGCAAATTTCTATCCCTAAGGAAAGGAAGCCATTTATGTTTCAGAGGGTAACATATCAATTAGTTATAAATGTTAAATCGATTTAATTTTGCTCTCCTTCCTTGGAAATGATTTATCTTTCTAATTCTATGAAATATCTAAAATGTTCAAACAGAAAAAGTATTCCATATTAAATTAATACATCTGCAAAAAAGAGGTTTCAGGATAAAAAAATTAGCAAAAGAAATAGCAGCAAACTGCGAGCCTTCACAGATTTGTATTTGTACACCTACAGAGAACTTGGTCCCAAAAATAATTTTTGGTGGAAATAGCCCAATTTCTTCACCATGCCACAACATAAATCTCCATTCCATTTGTTTCATAATAACTGAAATAAAGGTACTTTAACTGTAGAACATGTGATAAGAAAGTAGAGTAGGTTGGAGATGAATCCTCTGTTTTAGAGACTTAGATCCCTAGAGAAGGCTCTGATGCTGGGAAAAATGTAAAGAAAGGAAGAAAAGGATGGCCAGCAGCAAACTAGCTGGATTCAGCTATAGTGGCAATGAGTGTCACTGTTGGGAGTTGTGTTGGGATCAAAACTGCTCCTCTCTTAGTATGTCAGTAGATTGTTGGCCTTATTTGTTGGCCTTATTTAGATAGATTTTCTCCATGGTTGTGTTATGTGATGGAGCTTTTTGACATGAAGATGTGCTAAGTAAAAGTGGGGGAGAGTTGGTGTTTTGGGAGAGCACACTCCTCTAACAGAGAAATGCCCTATCAGTTTATCCCAGGTGCTGATGGTTTGCTCACTTCCAAAAGGAGTTTGGGATTATTCCTGTTTTTGATGACAAATCAACAGAGGCCTTAGTTGCTGTCTAGATTAGCGGTCGTCAGCCGGTGGGCCACGGCCACTGGTGGGCTTTGAGAAAATTTTGGTGGGCTGCAGAGAAATATCACCCCCAGAGCACCCCCACAAAGCAATTAATCCAGGCTGCGTAGAAACACAAGGCTGTGGCGCTCACATAGCCCACGAGAACCCTCCCCGCCCACTCCTTACCTGGCAAATTTGCCTGCTAAATTGCTATTTTTCCTTTTTCCAACCATCATCTGTTCTGCTGTGCCGGGAGATTTAGATTAGCTAGGAAGCAGGAAATGATTGGATTTCTTGCTTTCTAGCTAGTCTTTAGATCTTTGGCTCTGCTTTTAAGCACAGCCAAACCTCCCTTAGGACTGAAGTTTCTATTATTCAGTGCAGACTCACAGCAAGCAAATTTGAAAGACTGAGCTAGCCGATGGCAGATAGATAGATTTCTGAATGATTCTGATTCTGTGAGCAATTCAATCTGCCTGCCTGCTTTGCCTGATTTTGGATAAAAGTTGCTCTTTTTTAAAATAAAAAATTCAATATTTATATAAATATTTATAATATTTACATACAAGCCATACCCAGCCAGTCACATGACCACCAGGCCACACCCACAAATTAGGCTACACCCACATAACCGGTTAGTGGTCCCTGGGATTTAAAATTATGAGTTTGGTGGTCCCTGAGGTCCAAAAGGTTGGCGACCCCTGGTCTAGAATGCAGAGGTGATGATGGGCTCAGGTCACATCACAATTGTGCAGATCCCCACTACACGTGGATCCTGGTGAACCTCCAGGTTTTCAGAGGCACTTCAGAAGATAAAGAGATGCATACTGTGCCCCTGGAAAAGAATTCAGTTCAATTGAGCATGGCTAGAATTCTTTATTAACATTTATTTTGTGGTTAATAAGAGTGGCAAGATATGATTAATATATATACTTGCAGATAAGTCTATAGAATTTTAGGTGATGAGTTTGGCTTATCTACATATAGGCCTAGCTCCAAGTATATACGATAATACTTTTTCAAATACCCATATACCCTGTATACTCACATAATCCATATGCAGATAAACTGACTTTCAAATGTTTAACCAAAATACTAAAAGTGTGAGGGTTGGCTTATCTGAAAATGGGCTTATGTGTGGATTGTCATAGATTGTGTAGATTATCATGTAGTATATGGATTATCATGGATGGGCCGCTCTGTTAAATGACTCGGCTCCTTCTGCTTAAAATGGTATCAGAGGAATATGCAAGGCCACTTCGAAGACTATTCCGCTCTGATAACGAATTCCTTTTTGTCATTCCATCAAGATGAAGCATTATGTACAATGCAAACATTTTCAACGTATATAAGAATGCATTTCCCTGTGTATAATTAAAAAAACTAGAGGTACTAGCAGTGTTAGATACAAATATGTCCATATTTTTCTTCTGTTTACGGGAGTCATACAACCAACTCCATTCTCAGAGGAATGTGTATATTGCATTTGGCATACACAAACACATACATGACATTGTAGGAGATGGATAACATTGTTTAAAAGTTCTTTACTAGGAGAGATAGCTGATGAAATGGCATTTGCATTTACAGAAGTCTCATGGGACAGATCAAAGACACAGTAGCAACAACCCTGCTTGATTGCAACATGCATTTCCCTGTTCCTGGGAGCATTGATTATAATTATGCTAAGGAACTAGCTAGAGGTCTTGCATCCTCATTGTCTTATGTACATTGTATATATATACTCTTTAAATAAATTTGATGGTCTTTGAATTAAATAACTTCTCTTCAGGTAGAAGATGCAATTTTAGCTGAAATCTACATACAAAAACTCAGCCATTTTAAATAGCCTAGAATGTATTTCTAAATAAATAGACATTGTAAATTATTACGTCTGTACAAGAAAAATATCAATTTAAACAGAAACTGCTTTATCTCTTTCGGGAAATTAGAGTATTATATAAAAATGAACTGTTTGTACATAGAGGAAATTACATCTTAAATAGAACACAAGGAACAACTGTTATTCCATAATGTTCACATTTAACCTCCCGATATACACATCCATCCCAAGATTATGAACTCAGTCTTACATCAGTACAAATCGTTTAAACAACTGTAAGTTTATTTGGCCTTAGGTAAATGTTCATATAAACAGTAAACAACAGATTTCTTGGATCAACAATATAGTGAAAATAGAAACTAAAAACTCTAGATGGGAAGCATAACTATTAGAAGTATCATAGCTATTTTATAATTCCCTGGAGTTTCCCTTCCAACTCATAAGCTGGTATCAATTTACTATTGCTCACCTGAATCCAAACATTTTTACAGCTGGCAGACACACAGACACACCTCACATAAACTGTTAATTTTGCTGGTGATGCTGTCTCCGTTATGTGAGTGTGGGCATATTACCCTTCTAGGAATTGCATCATGCGGTAGCATCTAGTTTCTTTTATTCTCCTTAACATTTTCGTGTTTGCCTGGAATAGCTCCCAATATCATTTGCTAGGCTATCTGAAGCCAGTTGTATTTTTGATACAAAAATATAAAGCGGGTGGCATTCATCCTTTGTCTTACACCAAATCCCCTTTGCTGTTTGTCACCAATCAGACACCACTCCAGATTTTGAACTTCCCTGTCAATATCTGAAGTTAAGGAACCTTGCTTTAAAAGATTTCTAAATTACCTTTAACATATAATAGCCTTACAAAGTGATGTTGAATAAATAAATGTTACATATTTTATTATTAAAATATTAATTAGATCTGCATATTTTCCAACACTATTCTAAGATCATAGCATAAAATTCACTCATGCTTTTAAAGTAGACAAATGGATGACATTTTTAAATAAGTAAGTCTTGGGAGAGCACACTTTCCCCCCAAGAATCAGAGGAAGGTGGCCCAGCCATAGCACAGACGCGATATAGAACACTGAAGTGGAAGTCACCACACTTCACGCGCTCCATCACATCCAGCTATAGGCTTTACTAAAATCTGCACTTCCCTGCAAGGAAGTCAATCGGGAAGATTCTGGCCCTGAATTAACAACAAGGTGCTTGTCAACATCTTATGTTGGTGAACATAATAGCGAGAATTTATGCCGTTCTACATCAGATTCAATTGTTTTAAAATAACAGTACACATCAGTTCTGATGATCATCAGGTGATATATACTTATATGTAATGTACTTATCATTATCCAACTCTAAACAGCTTTTTTATTTGTTTGGATTTTCTAAAAAGATCTAGGGAGGTATACAATTCTGTCTGCCATCTGCAATGATATAGTCCTAAGGCAATTGTGTGTACATTTCTGAATATGGACTACATCAGAGTGTATATAAGAAAAATAATTCTATTATAAAAATACATACATTTCAGAGATCAACTTTAAATGCATTCATTCAGAATCACAAGCCTCATGAATTTTTTTAATCCACTATGTAGTCTACATAGAAGGAAGAATAGAAAGAGAAATAAACTGTAGCCAAAGCAAGCATAATGACTAAGCAATCGTGCCATTTGTAAGTCTCTAAAGTAAGTCATTTGTTAGAGAATTGACCAGCATAATCAACCTACATAAACAAAAAATCTAAAATGCTCCAAGACTGATACGACAAAATTAAATTCACAGAAGTGAATCATGTCAGGCTCTATGTGCTATCGCACAGAATTTTGTGACATAATATGTAATGAGTTTTTTGTCAGAATTTACAAAATTGATCAACCTGGAAAACTAAAAAGAGTGAGTTTAATGCTCTCTAAAAGGTGCCATTAAGTAGCATTTTCTCAACATAATTTTATTATGGATTATATTAAACAGACAAGACAAATATAAAAACAATACAAAAATAATTCATAAAAGAAAATAATTAAAAAGCAAAAAACCCACTTTAAAAAAGAAAAAAAAGATAATATAAGAACTTCCATTTTACACCCAACAAATATACATTCAACATTAATAACTTATCAGTGCCTCTCAAAATACTGGCAAATACTGCTTCATTCCATGCCTCACCTTAATTTCTATAAAAACATATCTAAATCTTCAGTTCTCCTTACAAATCAGCAAAATCCAATAAAAATTGACAAAAATGCCTAATGGAAGTATAAATCTTCCTTTTCATTTAATCTAAATTCCCTTCATCCCTCTCTTAACAATTAAACTTGCAGAAAAAGAATTAAGAATTATTAAACTTACCAAAATAATAACTCTTTTAGATATCAAAAACTAAGCCATTATACCATTAAACATTTTCAAAAGACAAATTATCCAAATAACCATTAAGCGTCATCAGAAATAAGCTCATTGTTTAATCATAGTCAGAAAAAGAGTGTGTGTGTGTGTGTGTGTATTCATTCCTTCCTCCAGCCACTCTTAGATCACATAAATAAAATCCTAACCCTTGCTTTCTTCTAATATCTTTTCCTTTTTTCTCAAAATTCTTATTAACTTCCAAATCTACTTGTAATTTCAAACTGACTCCAGTAGTTCTGTTATATTTCAGTTTAAAATGATAGTTTTTAATGTATTAATTCAGTTTTTAAATGATCACAAAATAAATTTGTAAATCCAGTATCTCTATTTTGTCTTATAAGTTATAATTTTAAATTCACCTAGATCCATCACAGTTATGTCCAGAGGAATTCGTTCATCTTCGGTGGTAACTTTTGGTTCCTGTAAAAAAATTCTAGTACTTCCCAGGCCCATAAATCAAACATTTCCTTTAGATGAAGCCATCTTGTGCTCTAGTTATCAACTTTCAAAGTTTTGCAAAGAAGATATATTTTCCCACACAAAAAAGCTTTTTCTATTTAACTTCATTCTTTAAGTCAGTTTCCCAAGCCTTAGCATTATAAAGCTTCCCAGGAACAACTCTTGATAGAACCTGTTTGCTATATATTAGAAGAAATGTAAAATATAAATATCTTACAAAGATGATGGGATGAGAATCCCAACCAGCAATTGGTAGACTCATAGTTCTGATGATTTTTCAATTTTAAAGAAAAATAACATTCCAAATTTTTAAAGATAAAAAGATAAAGGTTTTGTCAGCCTTCAAGATTTTCTTCCTTTGCTTTGCATCTTTTGGCTGTCATAAGTAACAGGGGGAGGAGGGGGGATGATTATGGGAAGTGAGCTGTTGTGTTACAAAACAGAACTGTAGGAGGTGTTAGAAAACAACTGTATAAGTTGGGGGGGGAGGTTCTTGCTTAGGCTTCTATCCTATGCTATGCGCAGCTGCAACTCTTTATCAAAATATGTCAAGGTCAACGGACAGAGGCCTCATCACCACCTGGAGATGCCCACATGATGATATACACAACTTTTAATTGGATGAGCCAATTGAACTATTGGGGGTGGGAAGATTGCCATCACTTTGTATATGTGATTTACGCGCCCATTTTCTCAGATTCAGAATTCTTTTGTTACTACCACTTGATTTCCAGTAAAAGATATCTTTTCTCTAATTAATGGAGTCTAAATATTTCTTTCTTGGCTTTTGAATGGAGCACCAGCTGACAGGTTTGGGCAAACCTTTAATCCTGAAAGGCTACATTTACAACTCAGAGTATGATGGGACTGCGATTTCCAGCTGAGCAAAAGTGGCTGCAAAATGAATGTTTCTGCTGTCTGCTCACAAAAATGCTGTCTAAAATACATAGGGACAACTTCCAGATCTGTCTTTCTTCCAGAGATAATTTTGGCTATCTTTATATCACATTTAGTTGCCAATTTCAGCTATGTCTCTGCAAAAAGTGAAAGCTTTGGCTCTTCTAACCTCATAGAAAGTCATACGAATAAAATAGCATTTTCAATTATTCTTAATCCATGAGGATAATTTCATTTATTATAAAAGATGTTTTGAAATCTGATCTTTAGGACTGCCAGCAGAAGCACAAAACTATTTTCGTGAAGGGTCTGTAGAAGAGAAAGAAAATATCTGGCATTTTCTCCATGGAGGTGTACAATTGGGGTGTCTAGTTTTTGATGTCCTCAGTTTGCAGCCTTTGGTGATGACAGTTTGACTGTTTGCAAAGGGGGGGGGAGTGATGTGCCAGCTGGGCAACAGGTTTAGGTACCGTTTGACAAGAGCAGTGCTTGTCAAGATTTGTCTTGTGCACTTCCCTGAAAGCCCTTTCCATCTGCTTGTAGAGGGAGAAGCTGGACATAAGAGGTAGCATATGAAAGCAAGCTGATCAGCTTCAAATCTTGTGCGGCTTCTCTTTCAGCCCCTGGAACTTCCATGCATTGTAAAATCTTGTTTAACCAATAAATGTATAGTTGCCTGTGTTGTAGGTTCTTTAATATATGTTTTAATATGATGTTCTTCATTTTTTCAGACATTACTACATATTTGATGATTTTGCTGTACCTGTAAGGACCAAATAAACAAAGCAGATTTCACCAATACCAGCAACTGTCAAAAAAACCGTTTCTGGGAAGTTGTACTCATAGACCAATACTTTCAGTAAATCTTCAAGATATAAACATTTTGGAAATTTAAAATAATTGAAGAAATCTACATGCTCATCTGCTCTATCTTTCCAGGTGGTAATTTTGAAGACTGCATAATGAAGGGTTTTTTAATTTTCTGTTTTTGCTATGAAAGCATTATTCCTTAAATTTCAAAGTTAATTTTTTCATATTTTCCTATATTATTTCCTGGAGCTCACTTAATAACTTGCTGCTATGAAAGATTGAACTCCCTCTTTCTGTGCTAAAATACTTGCTTTATCTAATTTTAGTTTGCTGTTTTGTATGTCATCTGAAGGAGGAATCAGAAAAGTCACTGAAAGTCTTTCCCTCTCAAAAATCTCTTAAATGTAACATTAATAATCTCAGTGTAAAGGTAAAGCTGACAAGCTCAGCATCTTTAACTGCTGAGCCATTTGTGTCCTGGAATCTTAGTGTGGTTTAAAATTTACTGGAAGAAAATAGTGTTTTATTTCGTAGATAGATGGAGAGCCACATTTAGCCAAAATGAAGGACTTTTGACTAGTAATTTCCTTTTTATATTAAATAAAAAAATGTTGTATAGTACAAATTATATAGAATATAGATGAAAAGTGATTATGCCTTTACCATATCTTTTCCAATATACCATCATTTTATATTACCTATTTCCAAAGTTTATTGTTGTGCACATAACCAAGAATGCCTATTTAACAATCAATAGCACTTTTAAATATTTATATAGTTAAATAAAATACAACAGTAGTAAAACATTTTAAATTGCCTGATAAAATACAATTTCATATGCAAGATGTATAGTGTGAACCTATGGCATTTAAACCTTACAGTGAGTAGTTAAGTGGCTCGTGCCAATTCAAAGTTCCTATTTTCTGGTTGTTCTGTTTGACAAAACTACAAAGTAAATCTCTTAATCCATCAATTGTTATGAATACTGGCTACTTTATCAACACAGAACAGCTACTTAACTGATCACCTGGGGAAATATGGATCAATATAACGACTCATTTCATGAAGCACACTACTTATGGTTTGCTCAATCCATCTGCCTGGATTCATGCAGTACACTGAATCATAAACTCATGATACTATCTGAGCATTGCACAAGACACATTTCCTGGCAGCTTGTCTGAAACCAGTCAGAATTTACAAGCAAAATTTCTATATGAAGGGGAATCAATCTGATTCAGGTATACAAAGCCGTTTTTGTAAAGTGCTGTTTGGGATAATGGCGCAAACTACCAAAGTCCTTGCACAGCAGACACTGTAAGTAATCAGATACCTCTTACTTATGAACACTTGCCAATATGGGCTGTCTTTATTTATATATTTTTGTGATGTTTGCTGAATATAGTTTCCAAAGTAGAAAGTCTCCAAGCTGAATTTGAAATCTGAGGACTTTATTGATAACAGCCATGTAAGATTGGATTTTTGTTACCTCATTAGAAGGTAACTGATCCTTTTCTTCTTCCAGAGTGGTTTTTGACTTCCCAGCAGAGCCTACAAACCCAGGACTCCTTGATTATTTCCTATTCAAATAGCAATCAGGCCAGTGGTGGTATTCAGCCAGTTTGCACCGGTTCACATGAACCGGTAGCAAGGATTTGGTGTGGTCACTGAAC